TCATCTCACTTACTCACTTTTTCTTATCTCTCTCCCAATTCTTTATCGCCCTCTTCTGTCTCTCTTGCTGTTTCTCCGTCTGCCTCTCTTTCTTTCTCTCTCACTGTTTGTGTTTCTGCCTGTCTTTCTCTCCCCCTCCTGAGAACTTCAGAAACTGTAAATTCTTCCTCTCTCCCTCACTCTCTCTCTCTCTCTCTCTCTCTCTCTCTCTCTATCTATCTATCTATCTATCTATCTGTCTATCTATCTATCTATTTATCTCTCTCTGTGTGAATTCTTCCCTGTACTTATCTATCTATTTAACTGTCAACCTATTTATTTATCTATTTAGATACTCTAGCTAATCGATTTATCTATCTCTCTATCTCTGTACATCATCAATCACCCAAACTCTATCAATTATAAATCTCTCTCACTCTCTTTTTTCTTTCTTTATTTCTCTTTCTCTCTCACTCTCTCTCTCTCTCTCTTCTTCACTTTCTGACTCTTTTCTATCTTGTTTTCTATATCGCACTATATTCTATCTATCTCTCTCCAGTTTCTTCCTCTTTATCATTCTCTCATTTTTCAACTTTCATTGTTTTGCCTATATTTTTTCCCTTTTCATATTTATATTTATTTATTTATATAGTATTAAGAAATAAAGGTAAGAAATAAATACGAATAAGGACTTATTATTTAGTTATTCTACTACAACATTTCTTGTTATTAGCAGCAATATTTGAGTGTATTTTTCTCTGCGTGTATATTTTGACAATACAACATTTTGTTCTGACATAACATTTTTCCTAAATGCGTAAAAATATGCTCATTGAATTATTCAAATTATCCAGTTCAATGCTACATATTTTATTGGTGCACATTGATTGAAAAAGTTTTAACGTATGAACTCTTTTTATTGACTGAATCGTCTCTTCGTCATTCACACATTCGGTTTAACTATCAAATAATTAAAAAAAGCCTTGGATCCTTTCGTATTAATATTTCACTGGTTGGTTGAATTGCTCCCTTTATTCGAATTTTCATTCTTGCTCTTCCTTGCTGTTTAACAGCAACTTTATTTCTCGTTTTCTCTGTACACCTCTCGAAAAAAATTTTCTGAAAGTGTCTATCTTCATGTTCTCACCGTTTATGTGTTGATGATCTACTTATCTAAAAGTTTGTATTTGGTATAGCTGTCTCCTTCTCACTATCTCCTCAATTTTTTTTTTGTCTTCAATTATATGGTGTATGTTTACAATAATTTATCATTAACAAGTATCACATCATATTACAACTAGCACATAGAAAAACAAAATAAAAAAATAAGCTAATAAAATAACACAATGAATCACAGTCAAGTTCGTTTTATAAAATACTTAATCAAAAATGTATATTTTTCTATAGATCAATTAAAAAATTATATAATTACGTCGTGTGATTATTAATTTATGTCCATTATATTTCGTGGTACGATTGACCAAATAACTTCTTTCAATTAATTAATCTTTCATGTAAGGTATTGGTTGAAATGAAAAAGTCAGTGTCACGAGCTGGATTCGAACCCACAACCTTCCACTAAATACACCGCTGCTCTACCACTTGAGTTCGATTTACTCGGACACCAACTGCCCATCCCAACCTGCCTTTCAAATTTTTGCTTTTTTTTAATGGGGGGGGTCGAATCCCGCTCGTGACACAAACTTTTTCATTTCAACCAATACCTACATAAAGATTAATTAATTTAAAGACGTTATTTGGTCACTAAGACCACGAAATGTAATGGGTTTAATAAGTAAAACGAAGTATATCTTCACTAAAGCTCTCCGTGGCCAATTTCATTTGTCGACGAAAATCAAATCCAGATAACACGACATTTGAAAAATGGCAAAAAGGAGAGAAGATTCGAAAGGTAGGTTGAGATGGAGAGTTGGTGTCCCAGTGGATCTTAGTCAGGATAACTCAAATGGTAGGGCAGCGGCGTATTTAGCCGAAGGTCGTGGGTTCGAATCCCGTTCGTGACACTAACTTTTCCACTTGAACCAATAACTTACATAAAAGATTAATTAATTTATGTGTGTATACTCGTAAAAAATTTTCACTAAAGCAGAATATTTTTCGAAAAATATACTATTGTTTGCCTTCTGAAAAAAAAATTAAAACTTGTTCAGAAATAATGCGGCTGTTGCTAAATGCATCGAAATTTTATTTTGTAAATGAATTTCACGAAAATGTAACCCCATTTTGATAACTCACTAAGTCGATTTTTTAAACATTTGAGCTTTATTATTTTCGGACTATCTATCCTCCTATACGTGTACAATATTCCACTAATAAACATAAAATTCAAATAACTTTATAAAAACGGTATGTCTCAATTTTGACGCGTTCTTATATAAACAGTGAATAAAATATTACGGTTAGTTCAATATGTAAATTTAAACACAGGGGTCGCCTCTCCATCCCATTGAGCTGAATATAGACATTATACGGTTTGAAACTCCGTGGAATTCGGCCGGTTTGACCTCAAAATTATTATTCATCTCACACCACAGCTCAACATATCTAGACGTCTAAAATTGAATTTGCAGTTCCACTCCCGTCTAAGTTGATTTTTCAAATATGGAAAGAAACTTCCGTACCCATGAATGTTTATTGACTCTTTTACATATTTTTCTTATTTGATTTTTTCTTAATATATTCATTAAATAATTATAATCGAATCAATTTTTTTCCTGATATATTGATAAAATATTATAATAAACCAGCAAGAAAGATTTCGCTTTATTAAATAAGTAATAAATAAAAATATATAAATATTTTATAAAGCAGTAATAAACGACGGAGTGATTATTTAAGAAGCAGGCACACAAACACATATTTTTGTTCAAGTTGTTAAAAATTAATAAAAAGATTGTCGCCTACTTTTGTATAAATATTTACACTGGTTGGTAGATTATTTTTTATCTATTTTGGGATTTATTTGCCCACATAATCATAGTGATGACAAACAGCGAAACCAAACGGTCACATTGTTCATAACTGGAAAAACTAATCAACACACAATAGATTGTAATAAAAAATATTGTTATTGGAGATTAATTTAATTATTTATTTAATTAAATTTGAAAAGTAATAAAACGACCGAGGTTTTTATTGATTTTATATTATTTTTTTCCCTTAATACGTAAAATCAAAATCTTGTTGTCACCGATATCAAGGTTGTAGTAATACTACCGAGATGCTACGACCTCTCCAATATGAATGGATTTATTAGCGTGAATGTTTTGTGTAAATGGACGTGGATGTCGAGGAATATCGAGTACTCCACAAGCCCGTCAAAAGGAAATTAGTCTAACGGATGAATGAAATTCTGTACATACTGTATGAACGTATTTATTAGCACGAATGGAAGGATTATGACTATCCTACCGACTTTTTATTTAATTGTAGGGACGGGACCTCAGTCGTGCACCCGTACTCTGAGCCCTGCCAACTGTAGATTACTCCGCTGTTTGGTCGGTAGGAAACAAAATTAAAAGAAGAGATATAGTGATTGAGATTGAGATGAAGTTGAAATGGAACAAAGAAAAATGCAAGAAGGTTATATACGTGAGGGGCCGGCAATGACCGTAGTAGTTAGCTAGCTGGGGAGAAAAAAAGAAAAAAAAAGAAAAAAAACCTTTTACGTATCTCTGGGTTGTAGTAATACTACCGAGATGCTACGACCTCTCCAATATGAATGTATTTATTAGCGTGAATGTTTTGTGTAAATACGTACCTCTAAAACCAACAAAATTAAAAAAAATACATATGGGGAAACAGAAGTTAAACTGTTAAAGCGGGGAACACGCTTACCCGATGCGACGCTACCCGATGCTACCCGACGCCTTATCAGGTTTTGGTAGGGTGTGCACATCTATGCGACGTCAAGCGCACACCACGTACAGTCATACTGCGTGTAGCACAAATCAGTATCGCAATCGCAACGCCTCTTTTGTTCTTAATGTATTATTTTGAGCAAAAACATGTAATAAATTGTTATTTAAATTTTATGAGCACAACCATGTAATAAATTGTCAGTTAAATTTAATTGTTTTAAATAAAGTTATTTCGGTGTTTTGATACATTTTCTGCCTAACCATCATCACAAGATATCAGTAGAAAAAATTGTCAACACACCTGTAGCCTCAAAACGCAAAAACTTCTCATCATTATTTATTTATTATTATTCGGAGATGGTGAGATGCGGTCTGGTGTGACGTAGGTTTTAGAAAAACGTTTTCTTTATCGTGCCAACGTTTCGATCTTTATTGAGATCATCTTCAGGGCCTGGGATCACGATCTCCGAATAATCATCAACTAACGGTCACCAAACACCACACATTTATTTATTTATTTTAGCATATAAGCATATATAATTATAAGGTCGTGGGTTCGAATCCTGCTCGTGACACTGACTTTATCTCAACCAAGGCCTTACATAAAAAGAATAATTAATTGAAATAAGTAACTTGGTCAATTGACCATTAAAACATATATGGATTAATATATAATTGTAAAGGTATACCTTCATTTTATGAACGTTACCCTGTTTTTTAAACAGTAAATTTGTTGTGTTTTTCTCTAAGTTGCTAAACATTTTTCACCAGTTTAGTCATCACCGTCTGTCTATTTTTGTTCTCTGTTTGATTAACATGATAAATCCGAATCAATTACAAATGACTACTAAATTTTATTTGGTAGCAAATAATAAAAAAATATTTGATTTCGGACTTTTAAAAATTTATTATTATTTGCAAAAGGTTTACAATTGTTAGCTACAGGTTTGTTATGATTATTTAGCTAAATGACGATTGTCATCCTGCATGTGTAAGACAATTGTTGATGATGAAGTTGTATTCGTCTTTTACAAAGTACACCATTGGTGAAATACTGTTACCGAAAAAAATTAAATTATCTGATTCTTAAATCTAATTATATTTTATGTTAAGTGGTTGATTAATGTTTTAAGTACTTACAAAAAAAAGTCTAATCTTATATGGTCAACGAATCCGGATTTATGGTCTGGCCTTATAACTCCACATAAGCCACATTGAAAATTTTCAATTACACTTATAAAAAACGACAATATTTTCAAACACTTTTTGGACACCTGAGGTTCAATTGGTACGGTATTGAATCAAAAACGGCCAAGTTTATACAAGGCACTAACACATTCCCACGACGGGCCGGTTTGACTAAATTTAGTTACCCTTTTCTGGCAGAACGCCCTCTTCTCCTTCGTTATTTTCGTTGAACATCAGTCAGTGGCGAACCGTAAAGAGCCAGTTCAAAGCTCGTCCCATGTACAAACAACACCACGTGTTTATTAAGAGAACATTGAGTCATGTTAGGCTCATATTCCAATACCTTCGAGATAAAAATATTGCCTTGAATAGACAAATATAAGAAATTAAACACTTATTTTTTATTAAATTCACTAGTTTTCGTGGTCCGCTTGACCAATTAATATCTTTCAATTAATTAATTTAAGGCAAAAAGGAGGGAAAATTTCAAAAGGGGGGTTGAGATGGGAAGTTAGTGTCCGAGTGGCTCAAGTGGTAGAGGAGCGGCGTATCTAGCCGAAGATCGTGGGTTCGAATCCCGCTCGTGACACTGACTTATCTCAACTAAAAACCTTAATTAATCAAAACATTTTTATTATCATAATTAATAAAGAGATTCGACGCTAAGCTCGATTGTCGTCATGGCGAAGAAAATTAGAAGCTTAATTATATCAGCTGAAGTAAATAATCATGAAATCAATACAAATCTGATCTGATATGAACTACAGTTATCGTTGGGTCCGTGTACTCTCGCTGTTTGTTTGGCAGAAGAAAGTGACTAACATGCGCCGGCCAAGAACGTCAATCATTCAATGATTCTTCGGGTCCAGCGGCGATCAATAATTAAATTAATTTATACGACAGTTGATATGTGATAAAGTAATCTGAAACGATTCTTTTGGTCCGTTTATTCTCGCTGTTAGCCATACTGCAAAAGGTCACAGATTGTGCAGTCAGCCGTAAATAATTTGATGTGAAATAACCTGATAGGGTTTCAATAAATGCAAAACTGTCATTTATTTTTGTAGGTTTTTCGTATTTTGATACCCCACAAAAAATAGGCTTCATAACACAAAGAAATTATCAAAAGACCGAAAGATATAGTTGAAATTGAAATCGAATGAACTATTCGTGATAGTGTGATGAAAAAAATACATAAATTTTCAATATTTCTATGTTGTAAACGTGTTGGGAAATCTGGAAAATTTGCCTCGCAAACACAATACGTCGGATAATGCAAACGGTTGTCAACCGTTATTTACGACCTATTACTAAATTCACTGTAATCATTCTTGAAAAAACACCACGGAACACGATTAGTGTTTTTAGCGTGTTGTTATTTAAATTTAATTCCTCTTAATTGAGGATTATGAATAATTAACCTAGATATAAAGACAGTGTGGGCTTTGGTATCGAGGTTATTGAGATATGCGGCTTTTGAGGAGGCGTCGACTAAGGACGGGGCCCCACTGTTTGCCCTAAAACAGTTACTTTCTCGAATTTACAAAACGAAATAAGCACCCACCCACCGGGCAGATTTTCACCTTTTTTCTAAACGTTTTCTCTTTACAGAAAACCAAAAACAAAATTATTTCTCGTTAAAGTTCGTAGTGATTGGTTTCGCATGAATTGCGTTCATTTCCTCTTCTTTTTTTTCTCACTATGTCTATATAAATTTTTGCTTGTTTGGGTTCACGTTTTTATTGTGTGTATTCATTTTTACCAACATTTTGTGTACCATTTTTCCTTCTTGAACAACAAATACAAACAATATGCCTCTTTTTTCCGATTCCTCGGCAGGTTTGGTCGAGTCCTTCCCTTCCTCCACCCTCTTTTTCGTTTTTCCGTAAGAGTGGGCTGGAGGGAGGCCGATTCTGTAAAGGAGGCTAGGTCCGTTACCCAAGTCTCCTGCACCGATGTTGACGTAGCCAGAGGTGGCCCTTGGGGGAACGTCTGGCGGTCGTATGGCTGCGAACATAGGTTACCCCCCTACTGGCGATGTTTGAGAGAAGGACGTCTGTGTCCTCCTTTAGGTTTGGAGGTTTGAAGCCCCTTTGACTCCCGCTGTAGTTGGTGGGGAATATTGCCCAGGTTGCGAAAGTGGGAAAGGAGTCTTCTAGGGACGGTAACGGTAGGGTGTGTACTGTTCGTGTACTGAATCAGTGCGAGAGTTTTTTGTGCAGGTTAGCCACGGTCTGTATGTGCCAAACTGCAGCCTGGGAATGATAGGCTGAGGAACACACCGCCACTTGGGTGCTCCCCCTCCCAGGACTGAGCACAATAACACAAACATCAAAACGTCTTTAATAAAGGGGTCTATGAGAGGGATGTGCTCGTGTGCACTGCCAACGACACCCCACAGACTTCCCGAAGCCACTCGGTTCATCAAACATCCCAGGAAACCCTCTACTCGGCGGACCATCGACACCTCGGTCCGAGTCCGCCACCCCTAACACATGCCGCGAATTAAGTTCTCCTAGGGACGGTAGCCGTAGGGTGTGTACTGTTCGTGTACTTATTTCAGTGCGAGTGTTGTTTGTGTAGGTTAGCCACTGTCTATATGTGCCAGCCGTATGCCAGGCTGAGGAAAGCCTCCCGGCGCGAAACCCCGACGCACCACTAGGGTGCCCCTCCCCCCAGAGATTGAGCACAATGATAGAAATATCGAAACACCTTTAATAAAGGGGTCTATGAGAGGGATGTGCTCTTGTGCACTGCCACCACACCCCATAGACTTCCCCGGAACCCTCGGTTCATCTAACATCTCAAGAAATCCCCTGCCCAGCGGACCATCGACACCTCGATCCGAGTCCGCCACCCTGAAAACATGCTGTGAAATAAGTTCTCTAGAAATTATGAATGATGTAGTGGGTGTGGAGTTCAATCCTTTTTAAAAAGATGGTTCCTACTCGCAGTAAGTTGTTTCCCAACAATCCGGACTTCGAGCCTTTTAGCTCATCAGCAGGTTGAAGGGCTCGAAATCCGGATTGTTGCGAAACAACTTACCGTGAGTAGGATACATATTTTTAAAAAGGATTAAGTTCTCTAGGGACGGTAACCGTAGGGTGTGTGTAATGTTGGTGTACTTATTCCAGTGTATGTATGTGTGTTCTATGTATTTGAACGCAGTTTACCCTCGTGCCCGGGAGGTGTTATTTTTATTTTAATTGTCCACCACGTAGCTGCTATGATAAACTTGAAGTACACAGTAATTTGCCGCTTGTTGACCTCGTAACGACGCTATTTATAAAAGTCATGCGATGAATGAAAAGCTTTGAATAATGAAAATGAAAGAAATTGATTCATCGCTAACGGCACCACATGATGCCTAATTAAGGCAGAACTCTACGAGCTGTTCAAAAGATTATAAAAAGAGAAAATACGTTTGCAAAGAATAAGGTTTTGTTTTATCCTTTATCAATGAACGTCGCTGATTGTTTACTTTGTTTTGATTGCAAGTGATTTAAACCATAATGCAATAATAATAATTTATAACATTTTTTCAAATAAAAAAATCGATTCATGATATAAATCGACCCATAACAGGGGCAAAACATGAATATACTTTTTAAATGTCGACAGAGTAAAAAATATTTTAACACTTTTGTAAATTAAAACAAGTAGAGAGCATCAGTTAAAATTTCAAAGTTTGGATGTTTAATTCTTTATTCGAAAATGTAAAATAATCAAATTGTGTGCTAGTAACTAAATGCTAATTGAAAATGGATAATAAAAAGTAGGTTTCTAGATCAATGTTGGACTGTCAGACGCGTTTCGGCATTTTGACATTTCAGTGTTGGCTCTGTGCGATTTCTGAACTCACGACTCTTCGGCGTTTTCTTTGTTTTGCTCCTTTTGCTTTTTGATTAATACTGTTTTGAAACATCTAAACGAACTGTTGTTAATTTGCGCGTTTATTTAGTTTTTATTTTTAAATGTGTTATTTTTGTATTTTTACAAGTTATTGAGTATGTTCATTTTTCTTCCGTTTTGTAGGAATAGCAATTTCTTGTATTTGTAGAGAGTTCGTGGTGGTTTTCTCTGAGCTTTTCTAGTTAGATTTTACCTCATTGCTGTCTGTACCTATCTTAATTTTTCGTACCGCCTCTCCGATGTAGAGGTGTGGCATTCACATATTACGGTGCATATGTAATTTCTAACAAATTAGTTGATTTGTCAAGGCCGTTTGACTTACTGTTTTCCAATTGTGTTCGTGGTCTGTTGTACTGTTTTAATGTCTTTCTTCAAAAGTGTGTGGTGTTTAGTGACCGTTAGTTAATGATTATTCGGAGATCGTGATATGCGGTCTGGTGTGACGTAGGTTTTAGAAAAACATTTTCTTTGTCGTGCCAACGTTTCGATCTTTATTGAGATCATCTTCAGGGCTCAAAATGCATTCTCAACACGAAAGACAAGAATGACACATCTACACGAATAACAAACACTTTGAGCACTGAAGATGATCTCAATAAAGATCGAAACGTAACCAGACGGCATTTCACGATTTCTTGAAAAGATTTATACACTTGTGGCCAGAATTGGGCCTATCACTTCTCGCAGACCTGGAGAATCACCACCCCGAGTGTTGGCATTCTAGGGTCAGACCTCGGTCTTATCCGTCCATCCAAAGAGTTGGGTTCCAGGGGCGAACAACACCTAGGTTATTCCAGCCCCAACGCAATTAGATTTTAAATCCGAACCCATTCACACTCTTACTCTTAAATACATTCTTTCTTATTTACATATATACCATCACTCAGGGTGGTGGTATACCTGATATTGCTCCATCACCCGCCACACATATTATGTAGCTAGTCTAATTGAAGGATGATGGGGGGGGATTCGGCCCTTTCACATTCCACATTCACGGTAATAAATACATTCACTCTCAAAACACACTGGATGACACAAAACAGTACGTACAACAGAACCACATGCAATAAAACAACCTAGTTTCAACCAAAAATTCGACCAGGGAGCCCAAATACTTGATGAAACTCTCAAGCTCAACTCTCATGTCGGGTGGCATTCCTACACGCTTTCTATATGGAACCAAGGAGTGGCACCCTTCATTAAGTAATGTATGTTTTTTATGTAGTTTTGCTTATTATTTTTGTTGATCGTGTTTGTGATGTCAGGATTTTATAAATGAGACTTCATAAAGAAATCACACAG